GTTCCAGGCTCCACTCTCTGTGCAATCCCTGACAGCCCAAAAAGTCTGTAAGTCATCAACGGCAACGTGTGTGCAGATATCCTGGTGTGAGTCAGACTATAAGGTGCTGCCATGTTTTTATAAAGCACATTAAACTACACTCAAGAGATTCCATCTGACTCCTAGCTAAAGCTGTTAGTTTGTCTATGTCCTTTAGCGAGTGATCTTTTTCATCATGATGAAAGTAGGAAGACACAGCTTTTATTACATTTTCCCTTAAATCTGGACCTAGCTCTCCTCCTTTGTGTCATTGGTTTACCCTGCATCCACTTCTACAGTTTTCAGTGGGGATAGCTGTTGTTCTGACCACCATGCTAGCATGCTTCAGCTCGATTAGCTTCTTCCTGGTGTAAACAAGGCTGCACAACAGTGCCATGGACGCAAAAAAGCAGCAGATGGTGAAAAAAACACACAAAACTCTCTCTACAAGAAAGTGCAGAGGAGCTTAGTCAGTTACTAATTTTACTAATAGAAAATAACTAGTAAGATCAAATAAGACTACTGTTTTTTCCGGACTATAAGTCGCGTTTTTTTTGGCTGTCTGGCGGATCCTGCGACTTTTACTCCGAAGCGACTTATATATTGTATTTTGTCTGACTGCGTTCAAACTCCGGCCAATAGATAGCACTGTATAAAAAGTTCACGGCAACCGGGAGGATGCGTCACGTAACACTCAGGATGTTGTGGGATGGATCGACACAGCATGGGCTTCAGTGACGACCGATGTTGTGTTCATAATTCCAGGAAAGACAGACGACTTCTAACTATTTAACTATTTATTATGAGAGAGCAAAAGATATCACTTGGCCAAGGACTCCGTCACGTCATAGAAATTACAGGCAGCAAAGCTGTAATCTGTAAATCTATTTCCGGACACGAACCTTGTGCGTGCATACATTTTTATTACACAGGGCGTTGCCTGTACATTTATGATTGGTCAAGACTAGCTGAAGAGATACCATGGTTTAGACTTGGTTCTCTTTGGTAGGTCCGCAGACTTTGAAAAAAGTCTCTTGGCAACACGATCCTCCAATCAGCATTCGGCCGGCCTGTGGAAGTCCCTCCCTACTCTGGCACCATCATACGTAATTTGTTTTCGCTAACGTTTCTACAGAAAAAGTGGAATCTTCATAAGGCTGCTATGTGTGGGAGCGGAGCTCACCGAAGGCTCAAGGCCGGAGTGATGTCCTGTTTATGAATAACTCTTTGTATTCTTCCAGTGTCTGCACCTGACCTTGCTACATTAGTATTGCAAGCTGAAAACTTTCTTCTGACTATTCCCTTCGTTGGTATCTAACCCATCAGAACCTGGGATTAGTGATTGTGTCTATTTATTTTATAGTCATAGCAATCTCATGAGCACAATAAGCATATAATGTAATAATAAGAATCCCTCTTGTAATGTTATATAATAATAGACTCCACACCGACACCATCCTGTCGGGATTCAGATAGGTCTAATCGGAGCTGATTCTGATGGAGAGTCTGAGAACGGCCCAGAGCAGGAAATGCTGCTTCACCCACACCTCTGTGTCGCTGTTAAACACTTCCACCGGAGTTGGCGGAATTGTTTAACAGCGACACAGAGGATGAAGACTTCAGTGGATAAATGCGACTTATACACCAAAGCGACTTATATATGTTTTTTTTCTGTTGAGGACAAATTTTTTTAACTTATAGTCTGGAAAATACGCTAATACTCTGTTATTGCTCAGCAATCAACCGCTTTGTTCTACACTTTGGGACAACTAACCTCCGGCCCTAATGTTGTTAATTTAATGTCTATACACAGTACTACATACCTTACATCATCACACATGCGTCGGCAAAAATGACTACGCGCGTTACGCCCTCATCATGAAATTAAAACTTTGATTAATTTTTTTGTGAAGTCAGAATTATTATTATTAAAAATAATGTTGTTTTTTTCAAACACAGTGTTAGAAATTAAAATCAATGTTAAACAGCATAATTCAGTCTAAAACATATCGTCAGTTTAAAGCTGTTTTATTGTGGAAAAACCCGGAAGTTCTCAGGAAATCAATGCCAAGCTTTTATTCTGAAAATCCTTTATCCGGTTAGCATGTGACTAAATATTACGTTTTCTGAATGTAAAGTGAAAATGACTTGGAGTGGTACACACCAAAACGTACGGACTTTAACACTACATCTATAGACGTCGAGATATTATTACTGCTGAATATTAAATGAAGGTACAGTTGATCGTAGTGTTTACACACACGTGAGAAGCTATGACGTCAGAGGGAGTTTCCGTAAATGAGAACTGTGCCGTAAGAGGCGTTTTTAGGACTTCTAAACTAACGATTACAGCTGTTTATAAGGTATTAAATAGAAAGTCATCACAGAGATAAGGAGGAGAAAGGGCTTAAGGAAGTAGGCAGAGAATACCAATGTCGAAATCATCTGTTCTCTCGCGATATCGAACCAGCAGATGAGAAGGTGGAGGCCCACTATCTGCACAGCGGGAGACAACGAGACGTGGATAAAAAGAGAGGACGGAAGACAACTCAGTCCCTTTTCCTTCGCTGCAGCTCCCTGAAGACATCACCGGCTTTGTCTCTATCATACCTATGCTTGTTCTTTAACCACGTTACTTAATTAAAGTACCCATTTGAACCTTTTCAGAGACTCCATTAGTCTCATTATTTTAAGTTTCTTTCCTGGGAGCGAGAAGATCACTAATTATCAACAACAGCCATCTCAACATATATATTCATTAAAGGTTTAAACATCATTATCAAGAGACAACAGGCACATTGTGTTTATTGATAGTACAGTCATTCACATAAATGTAGATTCAGTGGATGCAAATCAACAGCAGGACACTATCAAGTCACAACCCAGTCTCACAGCATTTTTCGTTATAGTCACAAAATTAATTTAATCTATTGATTCGTGTTCACCAACACGATTTCCGCATTTCTTTCGTGTCACACAGAACGATTTGAAAAGCAATGTATTTCTATTGGTATGTTTCGTGCCTGCACAACGTCTTTTTGTCCAGTCGGGTCTTGGAAGACCGGAAGCTGTGTGGTTCATAACAACACCCTAACCCTTTTATTTTAAATAGTATAATGTCAGAGTTTTTTTGCCGTCTGCGAGGAAAAGAAATGGGGCTCAGAGCCTCAGAATACTGAAATCTGTATTTTTTTTAATCTTTTTTTCCTTCTAATTTGTTATTATTTGGTGCAGGCCCGAAACATACAGTACTACCAATATAAATACATTGCTTCTAAAATCTGAAGTTTTTTAAATCTCTTTTTCCTTCTAATTTGTTATTATTTACATTGCTTTTAAAATCGTTCTGTGTGACACGAAAAAAATGGGGAAATCGTGTTGGTGAACACGAATCAATAGATTAATTTCGTGACTATAACACGAAATGCCGTGAGACTGTGTTGCAAGTCACCACAATGTTTTCTCACTTTAGTCTGCAAGGAGTCCCCAACAGTTATGGTACGTCAGTCTGCAAGGAGTCCCCAACACTATACTTTTTAATATATCAGCAGGTGTTGAAATCAACTCCACATAGGACCCAAACTAATTCACTCATCCTACAGTCTCGGAGCAATTGATGATTTATTAGTCAGTTATGCTTAGACGCTCGCACATGATGGACAGGGACTGGGTCAGCTTTACCATAGCAATGATAATAGTCCGCCTTCATCAGGGCCCGTTACACCACTGTTACTCAGAGTTACCTGAGGAGATTGGAACCACTCTGTCTGTATGCTAAATATCAAGCTTCAGCTAGTAGCCTGTTAGCTTAGCACAAAGACATGTAGCAGGGGGAAATAGTTACCCTGCACTAAACAATCACAATATTTTTTGTTAATTATTGAGCTTCTGCAATTATGTAATTGTTGCACCAAGCCTCACCTCCATCCTGCTAGTTTTGGTGCTAAGCTCATTGGATACAGCTCCATAGTTGATTGATGGATACTAGAGGGGTATCAATCTTGTTATCTCTTCCAAGAAAGCAAATAAGTGTACTTATGCTGAACTATCAATTATAAAATAACTACTAAAAGAAATACATAAATAGAAATATACAATTATAGTTGTAAAAGTGTTACCTGAGCTTCAAGGCCAGTAGGTCTACCTAGTGTCAAATTGCTAACCAGCATCAGTTTATCTTTAAATGTTGATTTCGACCCCACTTCACAAAAAATAATTTCCTTGCAGAAGCCTTTTGATTGTCACTGATGAATGCCTTAATATCACCCCAACTTTCACAGACAGACTACATCTCAGCTTTTAGTCTTCTGTCAGGTCCGTCAAAGCTTTTTCCGTTGTCCCCATTTCTGTATAACAGGAACTTCATTTTGGACTTAATAGGCGCTTAAGTACTTTCCCCAGGAATAGTTCCCGGAACTTAGTTCCCCGGAACTCTTTAGTTCCGGAACTATCTAGTAGATCGCGTTCACACCGGAATAAGTCCCTGAGGGAGGATTACGCAAATGAAGCCGCTGACGTCACTTCTTCTTCTTCTGCTTTGGGTTTACTGGCAGGCCGCAAACAACTTCACAGCGTATACTGCCACCCGAAGTCCCTGGTAAATCGCCAGAAGCGCAGACACCTCCTCATCACTCCACCGCTCCCACGTTTTATTTTGTGTTACCATAAGTTAGTCTCTCTCCGTTGGTGCGCTGGGCTAATGCTAATAATGCTAATGCGAGCAAATAAAATGGCGGCTTCACAAAACCTTTCTGAGTTTTACGGGGCGTGGTTTGCAGTTCACCCAGCCAATCAGAAATTGGAACCTTTTCCTCCCCAGGAAAGTACCACCTCTCTAGCAGGGACTGAAAAGGGTTGAAAAGGTTCCCGAAAAAAGTTATAGTTCCAGATCTTTTTGGTGTGAACGCAAAATCCCAGGAACTATTGGAACTATTCCTGGGAAAAGTACTCCGGTGTGAAAGCACCTATTGTATTCCAATCCTTCACCTCTTAATGCGGCTTGTTTGCTCGCACATGATGGACAAGGACTGGGTCAGCTTCACCATAGCTATGATGATGGTTCCCCCAATCAAGGTGAAGGTAGGCCAGAACAGGGAGTATAAGACTGTGACCAAACTATAGATCTGCGTCAGGATGGCACTGTCCATTCTGTCCGTAGGGTCCACGAAACACTGGACTGTGTGCTGGGACTTGAGACGCTCAGAAATGTTCTGAATCATTGCATGTAAGGCTGCATAGTCCTTCTGGCACTTTGGGATGTAGAAGCACTGAAGAAGAGAAACAATATTATATGTTTGTGTCTGTAGAGCTGGCTGACATGCTGTAGTCCAGGTGTTAGTAACATTATAAGTGTTTGTGGCATTTTACAGTCCAGACCTCTGGGTTGCTTTCCTGCGCCTCCTCGTTGTGCGACAGTCGTACCACTTTTCCAGAGGAGTTGAGGCTCACATAGACCTGGAGGCAGGGGTAGCGGGAACGCCTCCAGCACTCTGTTCCACAACTGTAGGAACAGTTTACATCACACACGATGCTGGAGTTCACAATGGTGCAGCTAGTCTCGTTGATCCACACGCTGTATAAATAGAGAAATTAATTACATTCACTCATGTATCCTACTTAAGTACTCTACATATATGTATTTTACTTATTTACTCATTTAATGCAACTTTCCTCCACTACATGTCATACATTTTACTCCACTATATTAATTTTAACACAGTTACTACATAAAAAGACATGATATGCTCATACAGTATAATGCAGTACAGTCCTATTAATTCAAACAGTGTTTAAAGTATCTACATTTTGTCCACATTGCTCCAATACTAAAATGCTCTTACATGTAAAAAAAAACAAAAACATCTAAAGTAATAGAATACTGTGAAAATACCCATTCTGCATAACGATTGCTTTTAATTGAGGTACATTTAACTGTTAATACTTTTCTAATTTCACTCTTTACTGACTTTTACTTGTAATGGAGCCTTTTAAGACCATAGTATATTTAAAGGGCCCATGTCATGGCCATTTCCACTGATCATAATTACATTGTTGAGGTATACTAAAATAGATTTATACTGTGCAATTTTCCAAACTCACATTGGTTTCGCATACAGCATCTCTGTCAAGCATGTGTATTCAGCAGTATTCACTTTCTCCACTAAACGACTCGTTGGAGCTCTTGCCCCCCCCTCCCTGTGAGCCTAGTGTGCTCCGATTGGTCAGCTCGGCCACTCGTTCTGATTAGTCAACCACCAGAGAGGCTGCGCCCATGTCAGTGCTTTTCCCGGCTGCTCTCAGCGTAACATCAGTCTTATCATGGCGTCGGTACAGCGGTATATTTTATATACATATATATTTTTAACTGTTGTTATAGAAGAGTGTGACGGCCCCAGGGCCTTTGTCTTACGATGGGGTGGAGCTGAAGAGGGTAATCAGCGCGATCACGGACACCTCCGGACACTACGGCCCCAGTCTCTCTCCAAAGCGGCTGCAGGAAGACTAACTCTGCGATCCTCTCAACCACCTATCTTTGCATTTACCACAATAAATGTGCCGTGGTTTTGTAAACTCGTGTATGTCTCCTTGTCTTTCCGTTGTGGCCTACGAGCTACTCTCATAACAAAGAGTAAGTTATTTTTACCCGTTATAAACTACTACTGTTTGATGAGAAATCAAATCATGGTTTGCTATATATGAATTCAGGGAAGAAAGGATAGGCCTACTAAGTATTTCCATTAAACTTTATTTTTAGAAATGTACAAAATGAACATAAATATACATATATACACGGTATATCATCCATTCCTCCTCCTCGCATCTTGCCTGCGCACAGTCGGTGCGGTGCCTTTTAGCACCCTCAGTAGTAGTAGAATCCCTTCCCCGTCATGGATTGTCCGCCAGGATCTGGCTGGACGAAATCAAATGCAAATCACAAAATATTAGAGAAACTTAGTTGTTTTAGATTCGTTAGTAGTAGTTGTGTAATGAACAGCTTGCCTGCTAATATGCTAACCTAGCTTTGTTTACCTTGGTAGCTAACACGATATGAACGTTAGCTTGGAGGAAAGGCAACTATAATGCAGTGTAATAAAACTACTATGAACAAAAGCTAGTGGTTCATATTAGGCTAGCAATAACGTGTTTATAATTGCAATCGTATACGGGTATTCTGCTACCATACAATGTAACTTGCATGAATACATTGTTTTGCGCTAGCATACAGCTAGCCTCGTTAGCTACATGCAGTATATGTACGGTCACAATGTACGGTAAACCGGAGTATACTGTATGAGTATTCCGTGTGTGACTGCAGACATTCTCCTGCCATGACAAACATGTAAGGCCATCTGCTGACATTGTAGTTGATATATTTAAACGCTAGCAACGTAGCATCACAAAAATGTTTTTCTGACCAAAACTAGCTCAAGCTCCGTGTGTTAGATCGCTACGCCAGCTATAATGTAATTACGTTTCGCGACTGACCGGCAAATCACCCGCAGTATACTGTCAATAGGTATTTTGTGTGTGAATGCAGACATTCTCCTGCTATGAGATACATGTATGCAAGGCCATCTGCTGATATTAGAGTTGATATATGGAAACTCTAGCAACTTAGTTAGCACAGTTAGCACTGTGTCAATGGCTTAGCAGTCCAACACAGTTTACACATTTAAACAGTCTTGTTTGATAAATACACAAATAACAATGCAAACTTACAGGTTGTATACCCAGATCTTCCCCTGCTCCAAACGGTCCAAACAAGCTGTGCATATCCGGCCTCAAACTGGGCAATGTTTTGGAAGCTTTCGTCTGTGAAATGCCGGTTCTTCGAACCTCTGGAGGAGGAACACGCCGCTGCTGGTGTGGCCATAGCTCTTCGGGATTGGTCCATTTCGTTCCGGGTACCGCATGACATCAGGCGGTACCCGGAACTAAATGGAAGACTCAAATGGGCAGTGACGTATCTCCAACGAGGCGTTTTGGGGAGGTATTTTCTGTGTTAGAGTTTTACTCGCTACAGGGTGTACTTTGAGGGTTTTGACTCTGCACACCGTTTACATGCATAAAAACCTTCATAACACACAAGGGGACGGGTAATAACCGGAAAAGCATGACATGGGAGCTTTAAGCAATAGCTCACTTCAGGCCGTGACATATGCTCATTATATCACAGCTAAGGGGCGTGGTTCGGCCCGACGCGAAGCGGAGCTCACTTCCCCTGAAGTGAGCTATTGCTTTTATAAAACGGTTACCAAGTGTGGCAATATGAAAGAAAAATACACTCTAATTTAAATAGTTTTTATTAGTAAATAATGATGTTCAAAATAAAATAGTCCCTCTGTTGCCTTCTGCACGAAACATAGTGGGAGGTGGTTGCTATGCAACAACACTAACAGCTAGCGAACATATTAGACAGAGAGCGTTGATCCATTGTATGGCTATTTATTTACATTCATTTGTATGTTGCCGTTTATTGTGCACCCACTGAAAAACTGTCCAGCATCAGTAGAATGGCTTACGTGGTTACTTGTATAGGTTGAGGTTGATCTAGGCCAGGCATCCTCAAAGTCCGGACTCCGGTCCGGATCCGGACCGAACCACAACTGTCTCTGGACTCTGAGCAAATTATACTTTTCATATGTATTATCTGTATTATCTGTGTTATCTGTGTTATCTGCGAGACATCGCCACAACGCAACGAGTCAAAATTCTCCGCTATGTCCGCTGCATAGAGTGGCGAAGTCACGCCCACTTACTTCCGGGTAATGGGACCTTATTTCGGAAAAATTATGCATTGAAGTCAATGGGGAGAGAAAACTTATCTTTCGATCCCGTTTGAATTGTGCCATGAATGACACATATGATGTTTGTCAATCTTAAAAAATCCTTTCCATGTAAAAAAAAGTCACAGTTTGTCGTAAAACTGTTGAAATATAAGACTATGAAAAATACGTAACTAGAAAGACTACAAATCCCAGAGTCGCGTAAGTGATGTCACAATTGTTTTCCTCCACCATTCAGATACCTAAGATCAGCGCAATATAGATATAATCTATCTATATGGCGCTGGCTAAGATAAGATAACTTTAACAAGATGCCTGTGTGCTTAGTACCAGGTTGTTATTATACCAGCAATGGGTCTTGCTCGTTCTTTTGCTTCCCGTCTGATGAAAGGACCAGGAGTGGCTTGATCAAGTTAGCTACCTAGCTAGTAGCTAGCACGTTAGTTAGCATTACAGCCTTGTCATTTTTATTAGCCTTAACATGAAGTAACATTAAGTAACCCAAAATGTTAAACAGTAAGAGTAGTAGTCATATTTCGTGAACCCTTTGAATAGTACTGTCACCGGTGTGATCATTCTATAATACACCATTTAAGCCCCGGGGAGAAATGCTAACGCTAACGTTAGCATCGGCGATCTTCTCTACTTCATGCTATCTGCACAAATGGTTGACATTAAACATTAAAACGACCAGGCAGTTCAGAGAGAATCAAAGGAAGGCAGGCAGGCAGCTTTGCATGACATTCTTCAGGACGTGTTTCATTGTGGTGATAGTGAGGATAGTCAATCGTTTTGTTGACAAGACAGTAGTGACGGCCATCTTGGTGACGTGTGTTGTTGACCAGAGATGTAGTTCATTGAGCGTTTCACACAAACAAATGTGTTACTTCACAGTTTTACGACACATTTTTTTTTTTTTTACTTGCAAAATTATCTTTTAAATTGACAAACATCATATGTGTAATTCGTGGCACAATTCAAACGGGATCGAAAGATAATCTTTCTCTCTCCATTGACTTCAATACATAATTTTTCCGAAATAAGGTCCCATGGAGGTCCACCGGAAGGGGAGGGACTTCGCCACTCTATACAGCGCTCTGCATGTCAGACTGTTCCGCTGTCTGTGTGTGTCTGTCAACGCTTTGGTCCAATCACATTCAGCATCCCGTCAGCGTTTTTCCCCCCCACCAACAGTCTGCGAATCAGAGGCACAGTAGGAATGCGGAATGCGGGTGGGAAAAATGCGTGTGTCTCTTTCAACCTGTCTGAGTCAGAGCGAGAGTTTAAAAAAAAAAAAGTCAGAGCGAGAGTTAACAGCTCATCTAGTTGCATCTGTACTGTAGCTAGTAGCCTAGTTTCACCTACCGGGGTGGCAACTGCCACCCTAAAAATAGGCCTTGCCACCCCAGCTGCCACCCCAGTTGGCAGCTTTGTTTTGAAAGAAAAGTTGTGGCTTATCTGATATTTATGAGAGAAAGTCTCTAATGTCCGAGTGCACGTGAATGCAGCACAAGTTGCACGTCTTGTAACCCCTCCCCCGTCCCTGGCGCGAGCGTGGAAATATGATTGGCGGAGATTTCATTTGAACGGGACGGCGCAAAACGAGAAGCATTCGGACCCAAGTACTGAAGGAATGAGGTATTTGCGGTCTACAATGACAGAGAAGAGACTGTCAGTTTGGCTGTACTCAGCATTGAATCAAAACGCACTAAAGCTGTTGATCTTAATAAGTTTGTGAGGCGTTTTGCTGAACAAAATGGTAATCGCCGCATTCAGCTGTAATAGG